CACCTGACAAATATATGATAGACTCCAGATCATATAACGAAATGTATTTTTATCTTAGAAGCAACAAGTGTTTGGCTGTATAGCGCAGCTGCGCATACTTTCGCCAGAACAAGACTCCTCGTCCCGACTTCATGTCAAACTCTGTGCGCCTGAGTGCAGCTCTCTCAGAGCCGCATACGCCTATATCTGCGGACGACTCGGCCCAACACTGCTAACATGAACTCCAGACACCTGGGGTACAGATAGCGGGCGACGCCGCCTGCCCGGTCACTGCTGCATTATGCATGAACTGGGCGAGGCATCGGGCTGTCGGAGCCATACGCGATCGGCCTGGTCGCGAACTGCAGCGCTGGCCCTCTCATGGACCGACGATACAAGGTCTCGAGGCATATCCAATACTGGTTGAGCCTCTACACAGCTAGGCTTTTGAAACTCGTTGCATAAAAATACCTAAATAGCATCGTTGCATCCAGCTTCCTGCACTTCTCCATCGAAAAGCTATATTGACGCAGAGAACTTAGAAGCATCCCCACTCACGAAAGCGGTCCAGGACTCATAACGGCTGAACGCCAGCCTCGTCACCACAGTTAGGACCAGGTCACTCTCACTTTCCTCGCAGCCCGATCGTCCCAGAGCTGGTCCGTGTCACGGTTCAGGTGACCTCTGACCTCATACCGGTCGAACAGCGCAGACGGTCAGGGCCAATGGATGAAGCATGCGCCTCTCTATATGACCATGCCGGTTCACATGGGTTACCTCTCACGTAGCAACAGGTCAGCTGGAAGTTCAAGACTTGCCTTTGGGTATTCCAACCAGGATCACCACTTAGGAACATCACGCAGTATTTGCAGCACAGCTGCTAAGCCCTTCCAGCACAGTTACCTTCCTTGCAGCCTCGGCCGTCCTTAGCGACTCACAGTCATATCTCACCATCCCAGCGCTCCCTGAACCCTGCATGACCCGAGAACAGTGCACCGAGGCCGCCGCCGGCAGCAGTTCAGGGCGGGATGCGCAGGGTGCACCCGCCGTCTGTCCGCCGCCGGCTGCCCCATGCCTCGGGTCGTCGGGTACGGTCTGACATTACGTCACGCCACGCCACCACGGTCGCCGCGCCGTGCTGTTGCATGATATGGTGAAACCGACGATTCGACAGTCCGCCAGTAAAGCAGGGACGGCGTGGCGTTGGCACCGGATCACCGGGCGATGGGCCACCGACGTCACCTGCGTCGACGGCCGCTAGTTCAGGAGCTGGTCGGCTTGGGTCGGCTAGGACCATGACACCGCGGGTAGCGCGGCATACCTGGCAGGCAGCCAGGGAGGCCAGGGTGTCGTGTTTACTTGCGGACACTACCACGTCGCAGGATGACCTGACTCAGAGTCCCGCTGTCCGCGCGGGGCCCACTAGGTCACAGGGACACCGGCGGGGGCCCGCAGGTCGCGGTTAGTGGGCAAGGATCGCGGTCACCGGGGCAGCGAGCGGATCACGACTGAACTTGCCACACGGGTCATGTGAGTCAGGCTGGACTTTGAGATCAGGCGGACTGTTGAGACAGAAACGTCACAAAGGGTCATTATCGCGGTGCTTCACTTTATAAGCGCCCCACTTCAACAGCCATGGTCAACGACTGCCGACACAGAGACGGCTGGTGACACATCAACGCGCTTGCCGCTTTGATTACGCGACAGCCGACAAAGAAACAACATTGTGTCTCCAAACAGTTTCTGCTCATTGCGGTTCTATAATACACCGTAATGGATCAGCCTACGCAGAGGCTGATTAACTGACGAACATCGCAAAGATGTCATCGCCCCATCTTGGTCTCAAGACCTCATTCAACCTCGCTGCTTCTTAGCTTGCACCTTCTGGCAAGTCACAGAGTCTCAAAAAGAGACATAAACATGTCCGCTGCAATGTTGCAATGTATATTCGGGCCTCATGGCCGACGTTGCAACGACCTTGCTCGCTGCTCACAGCTCCACCTCAGCCACACCCAGTTCTACTTTCCTCGTCCACCCTGCAGTGCCTGCCCCAACTCCGCAGCGGCCCGGCACTTTCAGTGGTGATCAGGCGGCTGCCGGCGCGGTGGTTAGCCTTGGCCTCGGGTGAGCTGCGGCAGCTCAGTCGGAAGCGACAGCGGGGCTTTGGCGGGGCTTCCGGGCCGCCAGGAGGTCACTGGGTCGGATCAAGTGACAACTGATACCTCGACTATGATACATGGCCCAGGGAACGCGGCAAGATCACTGATAGAATTGCCAGTCCGATCATATTTTGTTCTGTAATATTTGAGTAACAAACCTTGTAACAGAGCTTGTTCATAAAAGTCGTGGACATGTGAAGCTAATCAAGCGCTTATCACAAAGGACAAAAACCATCGCAGTGTGCCGTTTTCCTCTAATCAAGGCGCAATTTGGCACATACAGCCGACAATGACCTGCATAACCGTCACGCTACAGCTAAGACTCTCCACCGTGCACAACCGACAACCTCATGAACTGTAACACCCACTTTAATTTTACCGTCTTCATCCGCTTGTAATGTCAATGTTATTTTACCGCCTCTTTTTCGTTTTCATATCGTATTGCCATGTCTCTCGTTCAGCGCCGGCCGTGCGGGGCCGACTTTGCCGACTTTGCCGACTCTCCCGAGCTCCGGTTGAGCTGCGCCAACCCCGCGTGCCGGCACGCGCCGCCGCCCAAGGCACGTCAGTCACGATGCCACGCGTGCCCATCTTAGGAGGATTTAGCGGCGCGCGCTATTCAACTATCTCGACTCCGGCGGTTACTGCACAGAGCCTTAGATCTACCGTTTACACACTTGTCCATCATAGTTTAGTCACACTTAGCTAATGCCAGGTGCGCCTCGGGCAGTACATCGGTGTAAACTCCGCCCCGTACCCCTTTTTCTAGCCACTAGCGTACTGTAACGTTTTATTTCCGTCCATCGCTAACCAATAAGATCACAGTGCGTAGGATGCCCGAGGCTAGCCCGGGACATTCCCGGGAGTGCAGAGGCAGTCTCCGGCTGGCTCTCAAACTGTGCACTTCCAGTGAAACTCAACTCTTGTGACCAGTGGCCCAGTGACTGTTAACTGCTCTTCAACCTGATCTTCGCTCTGCTCTGCTGTCGACAAGAAAATACAAGAAAATATAACTCTCTCCAACGTCTTTTCTTCGCGGGTCAAACACACGTCGGAGCCCGACCCAGCACGATAAAACCGGCCGCCGTTACAGAACAACATTCACTTGCCGGCCTCCAGACAGACCAGAAACCCTCACGGCCCCGAGTCACCGCCCACCCGCCAGACGAAAAAAGTCTCCTGTCCTCGATTAGAAGCCTGCGGTCACAGACTCAGCCTAGGTCACCAGCATTGCCAACAGCCGGGTCACAAAAAAAAGAGAAAATGCTGTCGAATCCTTGACGACTCCCAGTCGTTTTATTTCGACGGCCTTCTGTCATTTTGTGTCGAGAGCAGAAATTACCAGCAGTGAGCGATGACGCGCCTAAGGCATTCATGGCGTGTTTTTGCGTGAGTTTTTGCCACCGATTGCGCCCCCGGGTGTCGTCAACCGCGAAGCAGCTCTCTTTTTGTGCCCATTAGCACGTGCAAAAAAGCGCGCGCACCAATCGCCGGAGCGCGGAGCGTGCTCGGTTTTTCGGGGCAATCGTGCGAAAGGAACATATGTTGGCACGGCGCGCGGCGCGACCTTCGGACCGCCCCGCCGGCGGGCCTGGCAAACCACAGGTGGTCCGCCACCGAACCCACACAGGCGACGGACAGAGGGTACACGGCGCTGGCGTGCCTTCTGACGGGCCGGTGCATCATCGCCCTGCACGGCGGCGGCTCGTGTGCGACGGTGCGCCGCGCCGGCCCTCGCCGCCCGGTCAGCGGTGGTATGGCCCATTACCCCACGTAATGACAGCGCGCAGCAACCGGCGGCTTTCCGCTACGGGGAGCCGCGGACAAAGCTGCACCGAACGCTGCGCGCTGCGGGCGAGACCGGCACACCGGGGTCCCGTCGGCAAGGGAAGATCGTCACACTTGTCGGAGGGGAGGACACAACGAAAGAACTTCGGCGTAGATCATGGAGGAACGGTGATTGTCAGCTCAACTTTCCTATTTCAACTACCTCCAGACTTTCCTCCTGTGCAGCTATGCGTGAGTATGAGCTAAGCAGCGACTCACGCCTCTGAACGGTACGGAAATTCCATGCCCGTTCTGCGCCAGTCTCTTGTCACTTTCAGCTCAGGACACCGAACGGCGCGCATTACCTGAGCGACACCGTTATGCCTGGCAGCCAGTACCTACACTCAGTGCGCGCTGCTCGGCGCTACATCCTGTTCGCTGGCGGCCAGCCTGGCGCACTAACGGAGCAGGTGCGGCGATACCGGCGCAGCGACGATGGTTTCCGGGCATCCATCACACTGTCCGGCTCCAAATGAGTCGGATGGACGGGCGCAGGATCAAACGGCCCATCAATTGTCCGCCACTTCCTAAGACGCCAACTCTGGACTTGCGGGTCCTTCGATCACTTAGTATTGGTAGCTGCTTCTGATCAGAACAACACAACAAAAACACCGGGTGTCCAGGTAGCGGTAACTCGGACCGGAACGTTAGAGCTGGGCGGGCCACACCCGTACAGACTAACTACAAACCCCCACTTCCGGGCGGTTCGGGGTTGCAGGCGTGACCTATCTGCAGGTGACTCGTTTCAATGACATATGTCTGAGAGTTCAAATCCAGAAACATATGGCAGGCATGACCTTCCCTTACGTTTCCGGGATAATAGCTGTGGGATATTTAACGCAATTATGGCAGCAGGCGAAAACTGGAGGTTATGCACTGATTCACAACGCCAGGCTCGAAGGCTGTTACGATGACCATGTTTAAAGTTTGCACTATGTATTTGTGCTGAATTCCAAAGCGACTGCCGACTTGTACCGCGAATCTCATATTCGTTATCTGGTGAAGCCACAGCCACTTCCGTGACCCGAGCCTCACCTGTCGTTTCCTGTCGTCACCCTCGTCATCCATGTCGATGCCTTCATCCACACTGCCCACAGGTCCAGTGACCTCGCTGAGGGGCGGCGAGGGTGTCTCCGAGCCGCTGGAGCCTATGGACATCTGGTCGCTCCAGCTGGGTCCTCCGCCTGCCGGGACACGGGTCAGGTCAGTGGGTCATGTCGCAGAGGCGTCAGTAGGCATAGTAAGCAATAAGCAGGGGTGATGATCACCAGTGCTCGGCTGTGAAGGGAAGTGTCACCGGAAATAATACGACCAGAAAAGATTACTGTAAGAAATCGGGATTTGAATTCATCAAAATTGGTATTGGCCAGATTGTTTCAGCAAATATGAACGCAAATGGCCTTCTGTGATGAGAACAGATTGATGATATGCCGTATGCGCAAGATGAACACGCCTACATGTTCGAGCATATCCTTGAGGTCATCGTTCCATAAGTCCATGAACCAGGACTGTCTTCCCCGAAGGCTCAGACCGTATCTCTGTTTGGGTTTGGAGTCCGGCTACTTCTTATCAAATTTAGCCGTCATAACACCCCACCACTCCGCATTGAGAACTTCCAGGTAGCTGACTTAATCTGAACGACGCAAAACACATTGCGAGCCGAGCTTCTAAGCAGTCTTCGCGCCTCTTGAAAGGCAGCACTAGTCAGCAAATGCAGACACAGTTTGGCTGCGGGATGCCACCGGAGGAAATCTCAGCTGTCGTGTTTACGTTCGAATGGGCTGGTCGCTCGATCAAGGTCAGGGGTGAACGCCCCGGGCACACGGGGTAGGGGTGTCAGGGCGGGGGAGGGGCAACAGAGCCGGTCAAAGGAAGCCAGCTGCGCGGTGTTTCAGAATTGACAGCGGTTCGCCGAGATCGGTTGGACCGACGTGACAAGCGATAGAGCACAGGTGTTCGTGATTTGGGGCAAGTCGCCATCAAAGGAGCCCAAGGGTCGGACTGATGTGTATATTGTGGGCGGCTTGGGGCAAGGCAAACGGTTATGCCGGTGAACGTCCTTCCTCAAAGTTCCTCAGAGTTCCTACGCAACATGTAACCAAGCTGTTGGCCAAAACGACTCAACACACATAAAACATTTACGGGAAGGGGAAGAAGATGCAACAGATGTTCGCGAATGTTCGGAACTTCATCATTATTTCTGATAATCGATTTTTTTCCTTCCGACATCCTCACAACGTATCAGCGACTGACAATAATTAAGGAGACAAAGTATCCTCTTCCGGTACAAGCTCCAGTTAAACACCACCATCACTGCCAACCGAGAGCAGGTTCAGCGTTCCTCGTTGCCCGCCGCCCGGGGTCGCCGGCTGCTCCACTGACCGCTGTAACTGCGCAGTAAGATCGGCCCGGCACCGGTCAGTGCGCACGGACCTGTTTCGCCCCGGCCCTCGGCCCATGGTCCGCCGCGGACCCGGCGGCCGCGTCGGCGCAGACGACGGCGGACCTGCCCGACCGGTTCGCTGCACTGGCAGCCGGCCCCCTCCGCCCCCGGCCCCGCCGGGGCAGGGCCGCCTGCAATGACGCAGTAAGTTCGCGAGGGCCGCGCCCGGCCACAGTCGCCGACGGTCGGGGTCAATGCCCTCACGGTCGACGTTAGGGCGCCCGAATATCGGTGACGCAGGGCGGACCGTGTCCCGTGCGAGGCGCTCGTCTGTTTTGTGTGCGCAAACTGTGAGCGGGACTGGGCGGAACCGACACCTTCCACGAAGCTTTCTGACCCGGCAACGCGTCGGCACTCAACAAAGCCCAGTGGCACCACTTTTTACAGTGCTTAATGACAAACTAATTACTACATACAAAACAGTCACACCGCGCCTGTTTTTGCTTTGGTTGTCAGCACTGACCTTGATCATATTAACACCGTCGCACTTCTGTGCATCAGCGGGCAATGACATCGCGTGCACGTCAAACAAGTGAACTGCCGGAGACGTCACCTGTGTTTATTGCTGCGCGAATCCTCAGTTATGCGCAATACCGAACATCAAACGTTCACTAGATTGTGCGACAAACACGCTTGCGAAACACTGCCGGCTTTGGGACGTTCGAACAGCACGTCATCAATCGACACTGAGACGTAGGGCCGGTGCCCTCTCAATCGATAATTACAGCCACAGAACGCTGTAATTATACGGATCGAACGCCAGAAAACAGAGCACTTCTCCGGTGTAGCCGCCTGCACCCTGTATCACAGATTTATCGGCGAAACGGTGGAGGCTGTTCGGAAGAAAAATGCAGCGTTTGCACAATGAACAACTCCTAATTATCGTAAACGTGGGGTCAGGGCTGTTGTGAATGTGGTGGAATGGTAAATGAAAGTAAATAATGAGCATAAGAGCAAGACAAGTGTACGGAAGATCACCAGAAACTGGACCACATGAAGGCGAGTCATGTTGCATAGCACCGCCATGTTGCATAGCACCGACCAATGTTGTTGCAGTGAACGTCGTCACGAAGTTGACATGATACAGAGCGTGTAACGCAAACACGAGGCTCGTCAAGTGCGCCTCTCATAGTGACATCGAAACCAACCATAAGAAAGAGTAACATCTTTTCTCAGGGACGTTTCTAATGCGAGGAAAGATTTGTGCCTTGAACTTCAAGTAAATATGGAAGGGACGATAAATGAACCAAGTAGTCGTCGCATAATTGAAAGTAATCATTGCCGGTCTTGAGTCGAATCTTCAATTTGTTTGTCACTTTCGAACACGCTGCTTCGTTTTTCTTCGTTCGAGTGTCGCTGAACTGAATTGGTTGCCCTCCAGACTATAACTCAGGCACCAGCGTCTTCCTTTGACACCCGCTCGAGGCGACGGAACTGAGCCCAATTGGGTGACAGAGAGATGACTCTGTTTGCGCTATCCTACGACAAAGACATCTCGCGCCCGGTCGGAGGGGACGCTACTGCACTACGACATCGCTGACGCAGGCAGATCGAGACTGAGTGGAGAAAAAACACCGAATACACACGCCGAAGGAATAGGAGCGCAGCGAGTTTGGGAACGGAGACGAAAGACGCGCCATAGTATGATATACATGTATCAATCACACATGACTTGGCTGACATAAGTGCTAAGTGAGGTGCATTTGCAGTAGACCTGCAGAGCTGAACAGGGATCCCGGACAATGTATCACAATGTGACAAAGATACATATGGTGTGGAAGTGGAACCGTTGGAAGCCCCTCACATAGCGGTGCAGTGATCTCGAGGGCAGACAATTGGATGCAGACGTGACTGGAAAATGCAAGCTTTGCACAACGAGGTCACAAGGGCCAGGCACATCTGACCACGACACAAGGCGAGCGGTACGAATCCCTCTGCAAAACAGAGAAACCACACACCTCATCGCCTCCGCAAATGGACGGGGAAGGTCTAAAAAGAAGCTTCCACGACCACAAATGTGACCACAATCAAAACAAAGCTGCCGGCTGCCACAGAAAACGACCGCATGCATCCATGACCGATTGTTCGAATGGAACTTCTCCAACGCAACCGACGACGCAGTTCTTTGGCGCTATAGCACGTGCGCACATTTTTGTAACGTCAACTGTGTCGTATTTTAGCTATTACTGCGTCGCACGCCTCTACACATTACATCGTTCTACGTTACTCGAATTCCAGTCATCATGGGCATCCGCATCTGCTCCTGCGCCATTCAGTACTCGGAGATCGCCTCCGCGTCACGCGTGAGTAACCAGCCGTGTATGGCGTATCCATGGAGAGGAGACGCATCGCGCCACCGCTGCCACGGAGAAATCGGCTTTCGCGCCCGCGGCTTTCGGCACTCGGTCAGTAGAAACATAACGACAACGGCGCAAAGAAAGCGTGTTGTGTCGTCGGTAACGCCGAACAATTAATTCAAGCTGTCCATAGTGAGTTGATGTCGACCATGCAGCATTCCGGAAATAGATCAGCCTCGAGGGAAACGTGACGCAAGATAGCCGAGTAACGTTCGCTCTCATGGACTTTGTGGACGGGGTCTCATTATAGACACACGAGCGGACAGACGACTCGAAGCTGCAACTCAACCACTGTTGGGCAAAACTCGGTCACCAGTGCTCCCGCTATAAGCGGACAGGTGCATTACCACAGTGGGAACGGGCGCCTCCCCGGCATCGGACATCTGCCTGACGAAGTGGAGGCTCATGTGAGTGACGCCGTCTCGCCGAGCGTCCGACACGGAGGCGCGGCGCCGCTGCACGGGCTTGCCACCGTTAGACGCCCGGGGCGGCGGAGCTGATGGGAGTCGTTTGAGGACGACCGCTGCTGGCCTGCTCGTGGGAAACAGCCGCGGATGTGCTAGAGCGAGGAAGGAGCCACTTGTGGCCGCCGTTGTCACACCGGCACGACCACGACGGGCGGTGGCGGCGGTAAAATAGCGCCTGGGTCAAACAGGAAATGGTGTGGGCACGAGGGCTTGCGGTAAGGGACCGAGGAACAAAGACCGTACCAGAGGTAGTTGTTTAGCTGCGATACTTGTCAAGAGCACCCATCAGAAGTTCTTTACTTATTAGTACACAAACACATTAGCCCATAATAAATCATGAGCTCCCATGATGCCTATCACATAAGCTTCTCCTTTCAGTAGGTTCAGACAAAAACGCGCGTGAAACAAACAGCTCATATCGTTTCGTGCGACTCCAATAGCGTCAGACCTCTTTGTGTCAGGCCACACCGATGATATTCGAGTCAGTTCACCCTAAAAAGCACTCTGTGTGTAAACAATCGTGTGCTATCGCCGGATCTGGCTAGGGTGGCATCGTTCCACTACTTCGCGGCAGTCTCTACTGTGCCGGTGTTGGGTGTTTCTTTTTATGGCAGCATTCGCTCTGGTTTTTACTCGTTTTATTGAGATTGGAATAGAGCGGTCGCATATTGCTGCTTGGCGCAAGAGTTTGATAGCGCACTAGGATGCATCAATGTTTTTACCTAGTACATACATTTGTTCGACATGTGCTCCATAAACTCAGTTTGGTTTCCATACGCTTCCTACACGATAAATGATGAAGCACAATCTAAACACGCCAAATGAGGTCCTGCAATTATCACCAAGCAGGCGCTAGCAGTAATCAGTCCAACAGCTGGTGCATGAATAACGTTTTAACAGTAATGTGTCCCTTGATG